ACCAATTAATATTGATTTTACACATGTAATACGTTCGCTAACAATATAAGCGGGAAACAACGAAACAAACACAATGCGCATTCACCTTCATTAAGTAAGCTAGCGTTGCGCTACACAGCAACAACAGTAACGAGAACATGTTCGTGTATTATTCTGGATGGCTGAACGCCAAAGCGGGACTTTTGGCTGACTTGTCGGGACGGCGGGACAAGACGCTTAAAAGCGGGACTGTCCCGCCTAAAGCGGGACTTATATACCGCCTACCCATAAGCGACCCTTGAGGGGCCCCAATTGTTAAGTTGCAGTATTTATTTGAAGAGTGAGCCTAGAGCCTGCCTTTCATGTATCTGCAATTACCTGTCTGATCGCAAACAAGGGTAAGTTTATGACGGGCACTCTTCAAGTAAATACTACAACTTGTAACAATTTGGGAAAGAATTATTATTTTACTGCTTCATATACCTATGGCTAGTGGTGATTACTGATTACCTGTGTCTGAATGTCCGATGCAAAAAGAATATGTCTGTTCTAAGAAGAGACGAATTTTACCTGTAAATTTCCTAATCCGTTCTAAGCCCCCACAAAACTTGGACATAATATTTGTAAAAATAAATAAATAGAGAGGGCACACATGGAAAGAAGAAAGAACAGAGAAATAACGAATAAAAACTACAAACGGTTTGTTTGTTTATCTTTGGCGTTGGCCGACTAGGCTAGGCTAAGCGAAGACCGTGGAGAGTGGGAGGACAGCGGTCGGGCGAGGTGAGAGGAGGCGGCAAAAGTTGACAGCTGAGAGAGAACGTAATGTACGAAAAATAAGCACATACACATGAAATTCAAAATTTGAATTTACTAGTAGAATTTTTATTTTGCTTTTCTGTTTTTCATTGTTTTGTTTCTTCTTACTGAATTTCGCTAGCAACTGAAACTGATTGAGACACATAGTACGTAAGCGCGGGAAACAAGCGAGACAACGAGATGACAGGTAGTTGCTGGGCGTCTGGCAGGGCAGCTACCACGGGCTTAAATATTGCTCACGAAACGATTTGTCGATTCAAAAAACGCAAATTACGCGTTCATCGCCATAATCAAATGAGTGGACCCGATCCCCAAATTTCAGCCAATCTGCTAATGATGGTGAATTAGGACCGGAAATCGTGTTTTATTATTCGAGTCGGCGCTGATTTAAATATTTCATGTCGGCTGTTATGATTGCATTCTTGCTTATAAATGAATACCGCCAACTGAACGATATTGTCATCAACTACGTCGGAATAACAATAAAATCCGCGATAGATACTAAATAATATTTAAAAGCTATTTTATACGCTCCAAAGTCAAAATTGCATGAAAAAAAATAAAATGTTCGGTCACTGGGGATAAGAACGATTAATTACGACCTAATTAGCTTTTAGATTTACACTATTGCCGGGACCGCACAAACTATTCCGACTAAATTAAAATATACGATAATAATTGTAAAATATTTTCAATCGAAAACGAATTGGACATCCCTGGTTCAAGCTCTGCGTTGAATCAACCTAAAAATTTCTCGCAAACAACACATTTCGGCTTGATATTTACTTTAGTAAAGCCAAGTTTTCAAAAATGCGATAAACGTAACAATATGGCAACATCGTCTGGGCAAATATGTGGCCTTGAAGGGTAAGGGTCGTATCGCTACCGTGTTCCCCCGAAAATAAGACCTACTCCGAAAATAAGACCTAGCCTGAGTTTTAAGAATGCAACCGGAAATCTATTTAATTCTATTGTGATATACTGTTACTTCTCTTTTTATTTGTTTATTTTATTTTTCTTATTTTTAAAAAGGTGCTGTAGACTAGATGACGGAGCAATCCGTCCCTCACATCACCTGTCATTTTGATACTGTATGTATTACATACACTTTATTGTTGAATGTTTTCTTTATTCGAAGTGACAAATAAAATAACTCCGACTCTCTGACTCTGACATAAGCCCTCCCCTTAAAATAAGACCTAGTCAATAACGCAAATTTGTTTTTACCTGGTCGATAGCAAGAAATCTCTCCCATACGTTTTAAATGATTAATCTAAAACGTGTGAGATAGGAAAACGTGTCATTTAAGTAAATGGATATCGGTTTTCATATTTTTTATATTCAAAAATCTCCTAATTCTGTACTTTATAATTTTGTTTTTGATAAATAAAATTATAAGACATATGCCTCTTCTAAAAATGTTTTGCCATGTTTAAAAAGGCTCCGCACCTTTTATTCACAAAACTACGCTATGATTATGTAAAAACTACTGCCATTTAAAGATGAAAAATTTCCTGAAAATTCCATATATATTCTATAAATACTACGTCCTAGGCTCGTGCATCTCTACTATAGTATATACTAAGTCTAATTGAATACCATAAAAAGTACCAAATATGACTAGTCCCTGGTGACCAAACTTTTTTGACTGAAATTGTAACAGTTCAACTGGACTTAGTGTTAATGGATTTACCGCGCCCGTACTAGAAATGTACCGATACCACTTTTGTCGCCGATACCGATACCAACTAAAATCGCCGATACCGATACGCCGATATTACAAAAATGCCGATATTCCGATACTATGTAATTATTACCTTAATTAAGTGTGCTGTGTAGGGCAGACGGGTTAAAACTATTGTCTCTGAGCGTTATTCATAGTACACATTATTTCAGATTGAAAAAGAGATATATATATCACATGAGAAATCGATGTTTGGTATCCAGTAGGGTTGGATTATCCGGATAGCGGTTATCCGGATAACCGGTTAACCGAGAGGTATTTTACTATCTGATATCCGGATAATATTGTGACGGTTAACCGGATAATAGAGCAATATAAATAATGTATATGCGCATTAGTAATTTTTATATTTTTTGTTGAGTGGCGTCTTGACATCTCCCAGACTCCAGAGCATATAATAACACCTTCTATTCACACTACTCTGCCCATATTTAGCCACCAATTAGGTTGAAAAGTATTGAATGTGTGGGTGTGAGTTTGTGGCTTTTTGGTCGGGTGTGGCTTTTAGTTTATTGCGTGTATTGAAGGAACGCATTTCATGATGGAACAAGCCAGGACTTAATTCCCAATACTTTGTAATCTATGTGATCTGTGTAGCATTTCAAAATTTTCGGTATACGATTGCATGTAATGTGCATGTTTTCAACTTTTTAAATTTTTCTATTGCGCAAAATAACCAATTTGTGGCTGATTCAAGCATTTTAAAATGTCTTTCCATAATAACTCTGTTCAACGTATCTCGCGATTGCGTCGACATACGTTAAAATTAAAGCACTTCTACTATAAAATGCCACCGCTTTCTGCATATATGAAAATACGTAGTAAGCTGCACAAATAATATCAGTTTTTATTCGTATTTTTGCGATCTTGCGAATTTGAGCTATTAACAATAGAACTGTGTGGTGGTTTTTGGTCAATTCGCCGTAAAAATCTTGCGAAATCGGATCTTTAAAATTAGCAGTAACTATCCGGTCAACCGGATAGTTAAAATACGGAATACCCGGATATATCCGTTATCCGGATAGTAAAAATTATAGGTATCCGAACTAACCCTAGTATCCAGATGCATTAATTGATTCGGATGCATTGTACACTGACGCTAGTAAACTCGGTGTCCAATTAGAAAACTCATATGCCGGGATGTCCAATTCTAATTTAATATTAATATCGCGAACCTCGAATATCATTTTTCGTGTATAATTGTGATTGTCGCGGCAATAAATTACAGCCAAAATGAAAGAATATCAATCAGCGCCGACTAGAAGTACCTATAATACGTATAATACTAGGCGGCCACATCAATAAATCTATAAATAAATTGTGTATTCAAACAAAATTAAAATTAATATAATCACAATATTTGATACCTGTGTAGAGAGATAATTGCGTCGGAATTTAGCTTAACGATGTCGATGGACTGAATGACACTCGCGCTTGACGATAAACAGTCAGAATTTATTACCGCGCCAAAAAGACCCTGTGCTGTAAAAAAGGACTTCGATTCCACTGTATGATTTAAAACTGGGCGCTTAGTTGCTCTCTTCTCTGTGCCGTATTGATATATATATATTCCCCCCATAATTAATATGCATTAAAAATGTCAATATAAAAATTTGGCAGCGAAAATAGCCAAATTAGGATTTACATATTTATCCCGGGGGAGAGGAAAGCCGATAAGACGGCTTATCCATATGGCGAACCACGGCCTCTCGTCCGGTTACCATTCCAGGTCGGGTATGAGATTAGTTATATTGTTTGTTTTCGGAAGCATGGACTTGGTGGTGGAGGAAGCCGTAACCGACCAGCGATTACGTGAACCACCCAACGACGGCGAGGAGTCCAGCAATCCTCTCGCACATAACCATCCCTGCATGGGATTCGAGAGTAATTAGAGGTGCGGTGGCGAGCGTATTCCTAACGCTTAGCCCGTTGAGCCACACCGCCGCGCATAGATGATTAGATGAGCTATTTCTGCTAGTAAATATTTAAAAACAGGTGAATTCTATTACCGTTACCACTCGCGGGAGTCGAGACATGCATGGCTCATAGTTCACGATCTCTCCGGGCGAAAAATAAATTAAAAAGTAATATTTTAACATATCTTTTAAAACATTCTGGATCATATCAAAAAGGTGAATATATCGGAAATATCGATATTTGACTGATACCGAAAAAATAGCCGATATTGCCAATACCGATACATGGGTACATCTCTAGCCCATATTTTGTGGTCCCCACACGTGTGCTTACTTTGTATTGTTGCGTCATAATGGTACCTGTTGTTGTTTTGCAGGTCGTTTTTAACCTGCCTGGTGATGTTACGTAGCGGTACCGAACTAGGTGGACAAATAAGAAGTATGGGCATATACTTTTAGCCTAGTCTAACATATTTTGTTTTTATTAATATATTATTAATATTTTATTATTATATTTTATTAATATTTTATTATCAACAAAGTAAAGAAGTACAGTACAGTATTTGATTTATTCATGCACTTTTGAAGGTCAAAGGTCGAGCAATATTTGATCAAAACAAAAACGCCATCATAAATTTTTCATTTCGTTTCGTATCAGAAGTTTGCCACAACTGCCAGAGTTTGCGCCTGTGCTGTCCAGCGTTTAGTAGTGAGTCTGATTATCCATGTTGGAAAAATGCCCGAAATGAGCTCTTTGCCGGAGAATATACCAGAGTTACCACCGGCACCGCCACGCGAATCTTTAATATCCACAGCTGTAAAATTTCTTCAGAGCACCAAAGTGAGTCAAAGCCCGCTGGAGCAAAAGAAACAGTTTCTTTTAAAGAAAGGTGAGTTAAAAACTAAGGGATGCAGAAATCAATAATTTATTTTAATAATATAATAACTAGGCTAGGCTACATCTTAATTTTTCTGCACAACAGCACAATGGGTGTTAGCAATGTTTTGGAATAATCGCTGGTCAGATCTGTAGGTTGGGGCTTCCTCCACCGTAAAAGTTTGTGCATCTGAAAACAAAATAACTGTGATGTCAGGATATGGTGGCTGTCTTCATGTCTTTTATTATATTAAAATTATTTTTAGGATTAACGTTATCAGGATATGGTGGCTGTCTTCGGGTCTTCTAATACAGTAATATATTTAAATTCTTTTTAGGATTAACGGATAAAGAAATAGAAATTGCAGTCTCAAGATCAAATTCTTCCTCTGATCATCATGTATCAGTGCCGTTGTCAAATTCCGAACAAATCGATATGCCGCCAGGTTTACAATTTATATATAGAAATTCATAAATACCAGTAAGGTGTCACACACTTGTTGCTGTAATCCAATTATTTGAAATATTTATTTGTTCATATCATTTTTAGACACAGAAAACATTATAACATTCACTCAATGTTTGAATATTTTTTATTTCAAATATAATTTTAGATAGGCCTATCTGAATTCTAAATTCATGTCCAATTCTGTTCCTAAAGATACAGAAAACATTATTCGTCACACATTCTTTTTAATTTTATTGACAGCAATTTCATGTTCTCATAGGTAAAATGTAAATACCTCGCGACATAATCAACCTAGATTGGTAACAGAAGTTTTTAATATTTTTAATCCATCATATTAGTTTTTGTTACCTTTAGATTGTTGATAGTAGTAGATAGTAATTTTTTAGATTTATCATTTTATCTTAATTCCTTCCTAATTATTGAATTATAAATACTTTTTGATTTTGAGATCAATACTTTATATTGTTTTTCTTTCAGTTTCTGCTTGGACCCGAATTCGGCAATATTCTGCTATCGCAGTCATAATTGGAGGTGTTGTTTATGGACTATACTATTTGTATAAGGTTGTGAATTTTTCGTATAATTTTCACTTCTACTGTATTGTTGTTTGATTTACTGATTGTATCACATGATTCTTATCGTGATTAACTCATTGATTTTCTGGTGTTAATGAAGTTTGTAAAAGATTTTTATGTTGACTCGGTAGCTGAAATACAGCAGAATTATACCAGTTTTCCAAGTTCTATTTGTATCTATGTACTGATAAATTGTCATTGACAAAGTTTATAGTCAAGAGAAGAATTAATTATCTTTCCCATCAATCAACATTTTCGAAGTTATATCCATGTCATTTCATATTCAATTTAACTATTTACTAACTTTAATCTTTTCTCTTTCTATTTCAGCGATTTATTGAACCAATTTTCCTGAAATCTGCTAAATTACAAGAAGAAAAACTTGAAAAGATGGAAGAAGGTTTGAAAAATGTTCAGGAGGAATTAACACAAAATATGCAGGTATACCATAAATACATTCATGGGTGATGTGCAATTAGGTTTATATAAACTTGTTGATAAATACTTCCATTCTAACATATTTTATATAAAACTCTTTATTTGTAGAATACTTTATTTTCAAACTCTCAACATCTGCGCCTGGGTTCTTGGATGTATTATTATTGTAGCCTTCAAAAATTCCCTTGGTTTAAATGATACTTCAGTGTTTCTCGAAACGAAACAAAAATATCGACTGAGGGAAAGCTGTAGAGAAAATCTATTTGTTTCAGACCTCGTTTGACATGGAGTACTGTAAATAAAGTAAATTCCTCCTAACATTAATCCGATGGATAAACGTTGTTGTGGTTTTAATTATTTGAGAATTTGTTGTTTGAAATCATTTCTATCATTTTATTGTGGTTTTACATCCTAAAATCATATTGTATACAATCAGTGCATCATTTTCTAACCACGACACGAACAAAAATCTACTTCATCTGTTAACATTTAAATGCCTTTACCTTTCTGTGTATTTGAAACTTCAAAAAACCATTGTGATAATTCATAGAAGTTGTGGTTTTTGCTGATTTGTGGAATAAGAAAAATTTTATATTTAGGAAATCCGAAGTTCTATGAATGAAATGCAAGATCATCTTGGAACTCAAAATGCAAAACTTGGTCAAGTGGCTGCAAATTTAACATCTTTCAGAGTTAGTACTAACTAGTATATTTCTTATTTGTATACACTTGAAGTAGTAAAAACTATAGAATGAAACTATGGAATTTGGAGATAAATTTTTTTCTTTAAAGAATATGACATGGTATTGTAACAGATATGTACAAGAGTGGATTTTATTTGACACTTTAATTTACTTAGGCATATTTAAATTATCTAGCAGGCTGAATCGGGATATGGAACTGTATCTAATTCAGCAATCGGAGAATTAAAAGCAGAAATAACGTCGATCAAAGGATTACTTTTGAGCAGGTAAATGTCAATTTTTGTGACTCAGAGTGCTCATAGTTCCTATTTTGGTGAAAAGTTTGAAAATTAAAAAAAATCAAAAATTTTTCTCAATAATGCATTGTCAAAAGACCTAAACAAGTTGTATAATTGAACAAGTTACAGCATGATGGAAACACAGTTTAGCAATTTAAAATAAATTTGGGTGAAAGATTTAGAAAAGTGCGAACCATGTAGCAATGTATCACGGCGGTTACATTTTTGTATGTGAAGCCAAAGAGAAACTTTAGAAGAAACGTTCCATATAATATTATTTAAAAAACGTTCACAGCATTAATTTTTTTAATCAGGAATCAGTTCCCAGCACAACCATTACCAAAGCCAATTATTCCAAGTTGGCAAATGAAACCTACGTCAGAACCTTTATCTTTAAATGGTTCCACTTCACCCACAAGTGCAAAAGAAGATGAAGATCATGCTGACGAATCCCCTGATGAGAATGGCAGTGGAGATAATGACTCTGGTAAAGTCCAGTTAAAAAAGACACCTCATGTGAATGGTTTCATGGATGATGCTACAGATGTACATTCTGAGAACGAAGACATCCCAGTTATTACTGGAAGTTGATAAAATGATTTTTGGTATAATTCACCACCTCGCCGTTTTAATTTTGCTAATTAATTCAAAGCAATGGTTCAACATCACAGCTTACAATTCTTTGTATATTAATGTAATAGGAAAAGGTTCCCCATGCCATCAGTATTTTCAAATCCTCCTATGTTGTATAATACAAAAACATTTACCATAACATGATTATTTGCTTTAAAGTTGGTATTTTCTAATTTTGTGCTCCACAATTGTATGCAACTTTGTCATTATCACTTTGATGGAAGTTGATCCGATTGACTATTCTGATAAGCTTTGTGTTATTTTTCTTTATATATCTCATTTATCTTAGAGGAAACAGATCTAGTCTATATGATAGATACACTGGTAGCTGAAGAAGATTAAAATTGAACGTTGTTTTTTTAGCTCATGGTTGTATGATGTCTTGATACTTGATATGAAAATTTTGTTTTTCAATGGATCTTTGTTCTTTGTGATTTATTTACTAAATATCTAATATCGTTTTTCAATCATTTTTACTGTGATTCTTCTAATTAAATTTCTTACATGAAACTAGCTACACTTCGTTAAAAATGTTCACTTCTAAATTTACTGCGTCTTGAATGAATGTTGAGAGTCCCATTTCTGGATGGTCCAGGCATCTCGTACCAATAACTGGTTAACTATACGCTGTATACATTGATTGGAAAATTGCCTCGTGATTAAGCCATCTTACAGCATATGTGATAAATAAGAAATTCATATCTCGACCAAATATTAGATGATGATGCCTGTGACTTGGTTAGTGTAGCATGGTGTTGGCGACTAGCTTCAAACCACCATAACCGTCTGGAGATTGATTGCTATAAAAGGTTGCGGATGACATTGTATGTGAGCCGTTTGTGAAGATTGATTGTCAGGAAGTTCTGGATAACATTGGATGTGATTGCTGTGGCATCATTGCTGTACCTAGGTCAGGGTGGTCCAAACAGGCTTCATTATCTATGGCCCGCGTCGCAATTGCGGGAGGGTAAACAAAAAATGAACAGAAATTTTGGGGCTCCCGAAGTATGCGAACCAAGATGGCGGACATCGGAATGTAATATGTGTACTAGGTTAGGGTTTGGCCATAATTCTAGGTATAAATGCTACGGGAGACTCTTGGCTAGTCTTCGAACTAATAATAGGGAAAATTGAAAAAGAATTATCGCCTAACCCTAACCTGTTACCCATGTTACGTTCCGATGTCCGCCATCTTGGTTCGCATACTTCGGGAGCACCGAAATTTTTTTTGACATATCGTTACATCACTGATGTCACTGAATTGACTAGTGTTATGGCTAGCTGAGGCAAGCAGCGAAGTTGAATAAAGTGCTTGGCTAGTCGAAATTGTTAACTTGCTTCCTTTCCTATCTTTTGGGTCGGGATATATGCTAGCAAAATAGGCTTCATAAATAACTGAAAATCGAATGAGGAATCTATTAGCCTAGGTTGGCTATGCCTGATAACCAAATATCAACATTATGGCCAAACAATATAATTCTTGCTGGGTGTTTTTTTGCAATCAGCCCAAACGGTATTACACAAAATTCTGCCTATATGTCAGAAAATTTAGTAATTACCCTCCTGTACCTCAAGTTTGGTGAAATTCGGTATTCAATCAATCTGCAGTTAAGTGGGTGGAATAGGAGAAGTTTGTAAATCAACTCGAACCTGAGCCCGCTAGAATTTAGAATTTGGGGTACTTTCATATTGAATACGTCCTATTTATCAAAATTACGTATACCAGAAATGGGTTTAAATTTTGCAATTTTCTAGGAATATTACCGTGTCCTTCCGCACAATAGGCACGCAATTTCATAACTAAGTTAAATATATATATGAAGTTGGTCACATATCTCGAACCTAATTAGCGGTAGGGGAGAGGCAGGTAAGTTGATACATAATTTAGTTTTACTGATCCATAAAAAATACCGTTCGAATAATCGCCGTTCTGGTTTGTCCTATTTATTCATTTATAGGTCCCTCACATATGACCACAAAATGGGGCTCTCAGTCATTTCCTAACTTAGCGCTTACAGTCGCTAAAGTTTTCTTGTCAAACGTATCAAATATCCTGCCTGGTAAGGTTACTTGATGCGCAGTGGTAGTTTTGTTGATACACTCTGCATAAAGTTTTTAAAAGCAGGCAATTACTCCAAAAATGGAATGGAACGAGGCACAAATATCACTTATAACTTGTTTCAAAAGAACGAGAGAGAAAGTTTCACCAGGAACGGCGGCAAAAAAAATAAAAAAGAACAAATAACTCATTTAACGAAATGGTTTGCTGGATGGTGGTAGACAACCTCTAATTTACATTCCATTTACTCAAATCGCAATCAAATTTAAGTCGAACACATCTCCGAGCTGATCCTGCAAGAATTGTTGGCTGAGGTAGTCTGCATATTATGTCCTCATGCGAGAATGAAGCCCCATCATCTTCATTTGGAACAAATACAAAACCAGTGTGCTCTGCTTCGACAGAAACTCGACTAGAAACTTTCTTTAGAAAAACTCCCTCATACTCATTATCTTCTAGCAAATCTATACGAGCGATGTAATGTACATTTCTAGATCTCCCGTCAACTTTGACAACCACGTAATCACCTTCCATAATTTCTTCTGCAGATAATTCATCTTCATCAGTCGTATCATCATATCTAACAACAGCACACTCCTCTTCTGAACTATTGCTAGTATTGTGGGGGCGAACTTTCCTATTTTTTGTAGCGAAAAGTTTTTTTCTCGAACTGCATATCTTGTTTTTCTTTCTTTTTTCATTCTCTAGGGAAATCTCTTTTAATACAGGCGTGGATGTTAAAATCTTTGTCTTTCCTTTTTTTCGGGAGCGCTTGGTCTTTCTTTGTGGAGCTTTTGGGATTTTTTGAATCTCGCTTGGCGATACGTACGACGAGCAAGAATTTGATAAGTCGGGATCTGGGTTGCCCGTTTTCTGTAACTGAAACGCTGATTCATCAACCCTCGGTTTAGGAGTGCAACGATTTTCAGTACTACAGCCTGGGGTCAGTGGATCCGTGCATTTTGAGGACTGTCCTGGTTCATTACGATCAACGCCAACGACTTCTCGGTCCGTCAAAGTTGCAGCTGCAAAATCTGCATCAGTAAAAATATCGCGATTGAAAGGGTATATCCCAGTGCTTTGAAATCCAGATAGAATATTCCTCGATGTCATTGCTGACATTTGAGCCTCTTTTACAATGCCAGGAACATCATATATTGTAACAGTTTTCCCAGCATGACTACGTAGCCAACTCTCCATCGCTCTGTTATAACTGGCTTTGAAAGGACCATACACCGTTTTATCAAGCATAACTACTCCATTGGATCTTGCCATCTCAACAGCACGTAAAGAAATATGAGACTCGTGGTTATCCAAAATCAAAAGAATTTTTCTTTCGGGAGTACAACGAGTCTGGCGCACCAGATGTTCTAGATAAACGAGAAAAAGTTCTTCATTAATCCAGCCAGACTTTGTTGCTTGTCCAATGCAGCCCGGTGGCCCTTCAATGATAAAGTGGTTGTGGAAGTTTACGCGCGGAAATATAAACATAGGTGGAAGCACATTACCAGAGGCGCAGATGGTGTAGACTACCGTAACCAGTTCACCACGCTCAGCAGACGTAGCTGCACCCACTTGTTTTTTACCCTTGGCTGTAACAATATCAGATGGGGTTTGAACAGTGGTGCACCCGGTTTCATCGAGATTGTAAATATCTTCAGCGTGAAAATCGTCCACATCCATGACCTGTGCTAAGTTGTCGAAAAATTCACCAACCGTGTGACGATTAAATGCAGTCGCCCTTCCGAGTGAAGTTGCCTCTGGAGTCCGTATGGAAAGATTTTGTCGTTTTTTGAACCCTAGCCACCAAGCTTTTCCCGCTTTTTTGTTGATTTTCCAAGACAATGGCATATACAGCTGGTTTTGAAATGCAAATTCATAAGCTAGTTTACAACACTGTTCAAGAGAGATTCCAAAAAACATGTCGGCCAATCGTTGTACATGATTTCCCAGATCTTCTTCCATTTGCTGAGGAATAACATAATGTGCATGAGCAACAGCAGCGTAACCTGTAATTGCGTTAGGATTATTTTTGCGCTTGGCTATAAAACGAGACAAAGTCAATTTATCGATGCCAAATGCTTCAGCTACACTCCTCAATGATCGCCCGCGAACAACATCGTCAGCCGCCCTCGACATCACATCCGGGGGAGTTCTTATGGCTTTGTTTGTTTTTCTTCTATAGAACTGAGGCATCACCTAAAATACGTTGAAAACAATATTGGCAGCGTAAAAATATTGACAATGCTGCAAACCATAAAAGCCGGTTAAAAGAAAGTCTGAAAATATATTTGCTGAAAAATATGCTAAAAAAATACATGGGATAAATAACAGGGTTAGTCGATACACGTATCAACTAATGAAACCACGATTGTATCAACTAGTTAACCTGTGGCCATTTTGAAAAAAAGGCCCGTAGTGGGAAGAAATCAAATCAGTATCCAAAAACATGTAGGCTGTTATGTAAGCGATATCATACACTACTGCAAGGAAATACTCGCTTGCATCGCTCATTTATAATGCCTGAAAAAATAATCAATTTACCTTGATTTGACGTTTTCACTCCAGATCTCAAAAATTGATTTTTTTCGAAAATTTTACACGTGCTGCAACCAACACCGTCAGACGACTAACAGAAAGGAAGATCATATTCTAGCCAAACACCAGGTGGCGCATCAGTTTCTTAAAGTGCATTGCACGGCCGTGAGAAGCGCTGTATCATCTAAACTACAGCATCAACTAACCTGCCTTTCCCCTACTCCCCAATCGAACATGCCTTCATTTATCAAAATTACGTATACAGGAAATGGGTTGAAATTTTGCAATTTCGAAGATTAATAATAGCATGTCCTTTCGCACAATAGGCACGCGATTTTATTATTTCATATCAATGTGGAATACAGGAAGTTTGTCACACATTTCGAAACTAAAACTTATTGAACACATCCCTATTTATCAAAATTACGTATACCGAAAAAGGGTTAAGATTTGCATTTTTCAAAGTTTAATAGCATGTTCTTCCGCACTAGAGGCACGGGAATTTATTATTACATATCAAAGTGGAATACATGAAGTTTGGCACACACGTTCAACTTAAAACTACTAGAACTTAGAAATATAAGCGCTTCCCTATTCAATAAGCCCTTATTTATCAAAATTCACAGAGCTTCACAGAGATAATTGCCTGTTGCCAACAAGGCCCAACAACCAGACTGGGTCGAGGGGGAAAAAGGGGCCGCAGCCAAGCAGAGCAAATCTGATGGACTGCGTTGTTGTAAGACAAGGGACTGAGTTGTAAGGGAGCAGGCCAGCAATCAAATAAAAAGATAACAAACAACGTGCGTGAAGCCAATCAAGAAAGATGTGACCCAGACCCGCGCAATCAAAGAGACAGAAGCAGTCGAGGGGAAAAAATAAAAAGACGTCATAAAGTGAAATCCGCAGCGGGACGAGGAAAATTAGGATGGGAAATGACAATAGAAAGAAAAATCAGCTGAGGGAAAATTCGGATGTAATGACAATTCAATAGAAAAAACTATCTAGGGTTGAGCATAAAGTAGGGGAGATGTGGGACCTGCAATACAAGGGGACCGATGCAGCAACGCCATTTCTCGACACCTAATGGTCGAATTCTAATTTCAATTTCGCCATGGCATAGTTTCGTCTGCCGCTTTTTCCAGTTGTAGGCTAGTGTCGGTGGCCTTTTGCGTTCTTGGGTAACGGTGGTGAATTTGTTTTTAGATAGCGAAAAAAAATCACGGGCAAGCGTTCAACCAATATTTTTAGATACTTACGATAAGACTGTGAGGGTAACAGTAAATAGGTTTTACAGGTCGATGTTTTACCCACATTTTCCAGTTGTATTGGTAAGCAAATGCTGTGTTAGTTTTACCTCAGGTCTCCACAGAAAAAAAATGGCGGGTTTGGGACCAGTGAGACAGCATGCGACGGGACCTATAAAACGCTGTCTCATTGGTCCACTCCAACAAATTATATCTTTAAACAGCATTATAACTGCAAAATGCCAACTTTTAAAATTAGTAAATGTTTGAAAGGAAAGTACACGAGCGAAGTTCTAAGCGAAGCCGTTAAAAAAGTTATTGCCAATGAGGGGCGTGTGCGATGAATTGCCAGTGATTACAACCTTGACCATACGACTCTTGGCAGATATGTAGATGTGGCAAAACGTCAAGGTTGCACAGATATTTTAAAAAGATCCATGGTTACAAAACAGGTGTGTGAATTTTGTAGAAAGATGAATGTGAGTTGTATTTATGTATGAGAGGATTCAGTACAATTGTTTGAACTCATTTCAGGTTTTTACGAAAAATGAAGAGGAGGCTTTAGCAGAATATCTGATTCAATCATCCAAAATGCTGCATGGTTTAACAAAGTTTGAGGCTAAGCGAATGGCATATGCGTATGCGTTAAAGAAACAAAAAATAATTCCTAGCAGTTGGAGCAGGAACGGTTGTGCAGGTGAGGATTGGCTTAAAGGATTTCGGAAGAGAACGGGGACCTTGAGCCTTCGCCAGCCAGAGCCAACAAGCAAGGCTAGAGCAATGGCTTTTAACAAGCATAACGTTGGAAATTTTTTCGATAACTTAAAAGAATTGTACATGAAACAAGGGCCGATTTTACCACAAAATATTTGGAATCTGGACGAAACAGGCATTAACACGGTGGTTAAAGCCCCGCAAGTTCTCGCAAAAAAAGGGAAAAAACAGGTCGGACGCATAACATCAGCGGAACGCGGCGTCACTGTCACAATGTGCGCATGTGTAAACGTCATTGGAAACGCATTGTCACCGGCATTTGTCTTTCCTCGTGATCATTTTCAAGACAGAATGCTTCGAGATGCCCCACCTGGGAGTCTTGGTTTTGCTTGCCGGTCAGGGTGGATGACAACAGAAATTTTCCCAGAAGTCCTCGCACATTTCATTCGGTTGATGAAAGTTTCGAAGTCGAATCCCGCAATTTTTCTAATGGATAATCATACCAGCCACATATCGCTGGGAGTTATTGATATGTCACGCAGTCATGGATTGCATATTCTCACGTTTCCACCGCACTGTAGCCACAAGCTTCAACCTCTGGACGTTAGCGTATTTGGTCCTTTTAAAAGAGAATACGCATCTCAATGTGATTCCTGGTATACGTTCAGTATGTTAAACAGTACAGCTGGATTTCGTGCAACTGGAGTGTACCCGTTCGATCCAAATATTTTTCTTAACAACACATTCTTGCCTTCGGAGGTTACCGACATTCCTGTACTGCGTGAACTCTTGCCGTTTCGTGATGAAGAGCCTCTCCAGACAGACCCAAAAGTCAATAACGCAACATCGTCTCCGTCCGATTTAAACATATCAGCATCAAGCGACATCAATATAATAAAAAGCATTCGTCCTTTTCCGAGAGTTTCTTCGTCGAATAAAAGATCCAACAAAAGAAAATTAATATCCGCAATTATAACAAGCACACCGGAAAAGACAAAACTGGAACAGCTCAAGAAAATAAAACCTAACCAACAACGAAAACACCAGGCCTCGAATAGCAGCAGTGATACAAGTGAAGACGGTGTAATTTCTGTTCATTCAGATTCTTCGGTAAAAGATGATGTTTCATCCGAAGAAAATACAGGAGACAATGCGGTCCCACGAAAAGCGTCCCACGGTGACTATGTCTTATCAAAAGTATACGACGACACTAACGAGAGATGGAAGATTTTCATTGGATTATTGGTTGGTTAGTGGACCCGATGATGATGATGAATTTGAAGTTAAATTCATGAAAAAGTCTGACAAAATAAGGAATGGATTTGTGTTTCCGCAAGTTGAAGACGTAGCTTCTGTCAGACGAGGAGATATAGTGAGGGTGCTGAATTATTCCACACCTGTGGCAACAACCAAACGCCTCTCTGGCATTTGTAGATTCATGGATGTTGATGAACATGAAATCTAACAAAAATAGAACATTTTGTTTCGTTGGTGCACACTATTTATGCTCTTCAGCACAAATTTTCATAAAGTACCGTTTCATCGTTCCATAAACTCATCTAGTTAAACTTTTACAATGACTAGCGTTTTGGTTCATAGATCCCAGGTTCAAGTTGCACAGGTCCCATAAGGGTGAGACCAATTATACAATATTTTATAAATTTGTTTGTTCAATAAATTCCACAGTTCTTTGTATGAAACGAAAATATTTGACCGTGTAATGCGTTATGGGTATATTACTTAGTAGACGGCAGGAAATCAACCTATCTACTGTAGTTAATAAAATATCCTAGTAAAACCAAAAAAGTCTCGCAGGTCCCACATCTCCCCTACTGAAAATAGAAAACCAGCGAGGTTTATTAGCCAGCTGCACAATAAAATAGGTTAGGGAAAATAAAAATGAAGAAGTTAAGTTGAAATTCCGCGAGCCCCCCAAAGGAAAAAAAATAATCGAGACTGTCTGGAGCAGCAGTTTTTGCACAAAATTCCGGTTCGAATTCCTTTCCTTTTGATATATTTGAAAGACTGAAAAAGTCGCTAATAACGTGCGCGATTTTGCATTTCACTAAAAATTTTGTTCCACGAATACGACGATAATTACTTATTTGTTCTCGTGCCAAATTGTGAGTTCAGTGTGGAAAACAAGTTGGTTTATTATAATTATAGGCGACGAGATGATAAAAACAAATTAATTAATGAAAGAGGTGGATCCGCTACTCAACTTTATTGATTGAAATGCGATATTATAAAATATCAAAACTAAAACCTAAGACGGAAAATAAAACCATAAATTTTGTTTTGGCAAACTCGCGACAGATTAAAAACGATTTTTATATATTGTAAACCAACAATAAACTGAAATACTTACTTGACAGTGTAGCTTCCAGCTTACAAAACAATCGACAGTTGCCTGGAAACAGTTCACTTCTATATTTAGGGAGTATTTCAGCTGTACCGTGTTTTATGAATGACCGCTTTTTTAATCAGTTAAAACTGTTATTATACTGGCCTACGGTGAAAACCATAACGACGCAAAAACAAATTCGCTGTTACACTACAACTCGTTGCGAAAACACTCGGATCATGGTTGAAATCAAACATTTTGAGTGTTAAAATTGATTTCATTTTGGTGCCGTTCATGAACAGTCGCTAATTTTAAAAAAATTCCAATTTAATTGAGGTCTTATATCTGAGTATTTTGTTCTCACATCAATTATTGGGAAAAATTCAAGCAAATTTATGATGAGACCTAGTTAGAAAATTTTTTACGAATATCAAGCAATTTTTTCTTCCGAATTATTTATAGCTGATTTTATTTTTTCAGTGAAATTTCCGATTACAGTTGCATATCTAGAACCGCTGCTGAAGGCCCAACGGCAGCTGAGTTGCTACGTCTTATACGAAATTTGTATTCATCGTAACTAAAACTGCCTTGTAAACAACAAAATTGTTAATATGTGAAATGTTTACATCATGGTTCCAAATGTATTTCAGTGCAAGTGAACATTTAAATAGATACATCACCTGGGGCATTGCTAACATAGAATATTCGAATTCAGCCATTCGATCAGCCATCTTTTCGAAAATAGCAAGTCATTCCACATTGGAACTTACCTTCACTTACTACAGCCTGACATGAAGATATAGCTGCAATCTGTTCCGCACAGTGAACGGTTGCAAGTTATTTATTAAGTTACATTTCGGCGAATATGGCACATGACGTTTTGACCCGAATATAATTCCGACAATATTATTAATTTGAACTCAGCTCCTGTAAGCTACAAAAAATTCAACACAGAGCGCCGAAAATGCCAAAGTTTAAATTAGGTTGAAAAAACATTATTTATAACATGGGCATTCTCACCTTGTGACAGATGCGGACACTTTCTCTAATTTGGGACAGGGGCGAACTTGGGTCGTCAACCAAGAAACACGCTGCCTTGTCGATAAATTGCTACGTCACAATAACCGCTCGATTTTGACATTCTCTTGAAAATTCAGTATGTCATGATACAATGATAAATGCACTCTCATTGCCATATCTATACCATGGCTACTAACAGGTAGTCCTGGTGTAAAATTCCATCTTACCCCATTCACTTTTTTTTTAACAGACAATTGAAAATATGCCAAGAAATTATAAAAGAACTACTTCTAGAGGTGGTTGGAATACAGAAAATATGAAAACTGCAGTTAAAGAAGGTATAAAAGGAGGGAAAATTAAGTCAATAGCTCTAGCATACAATGTGGCAAGAACAACTCTTTCTCGTCATGTGTCAGGAAAGCTACGAAAACCGACTGGGTCAAATCATCTGGGCAAATGCTCTGTATTGGGGGATAAAAATGAACTTTTCCTATCAAACCACATATTGGAGTTTGAAAGGCGTGGTTTCCCATTAACTGTCAATGATATCAGGAAACTCGCATATGAATTTGCCATCATCAATGATTTGCCCCACAGATTCTCAAAATAAACTAAAATGGCAGGGATGGACTGGTGGGGTGAATTCCGCAAAAGGCACAATGACCTACTCACAATTCGCAAGCCACAGTCACTTTCATTTCAACGAGCAGTTCATCTGAATAGGCCAATTGTCAACAAATTTTTTGATTTATTAGAGAGCACCATGCTGGAAAATTTCGTGTTTGGAGAGCCTTCTCGGATTTATAATGTAGACGGGACAAGTTTGAGTTTAGTGCCTGGAGTAAAAAATATTGTTGGCCTCAAAAGTTCAAGGTATTCGAGTCAAATAACAAGTGTTGAGCGTGGTCTATCTCAGACAGTCGTCATGGCTGTAAACGCTGTAGGTGATTATGTTCCTCCAATGGGTATATACAAAGGTAAACGGTAAATCCTCTTCTGCAGCAAGGTATGCCACCTGGCACTGTTGTCAAGTATAGTGAGTCTGGCTATATGAACAAAGAAATATTTTTGGATTGGATCCAGCATTTCAATGCTGACAAAAAGCTATCATCCGAAAAGGTGTACTAATACTAGATGGGCATGGCTCACACACGCGTAGCATCGAAGTGCTGGATTTTGCAGCCAACAACAACATTGAAATTGTCAGTTTGCCCCCACATACAAGTCATTATCTGCAACCTTTGGATAAACTTCATTTTGAACCCTTGAAGGACTATTATAAGGAAACTGTGCGAAATTCACATGAGGAACAATCCGGGGGTTGGTTTGACCAGATTCAATTTCCCAACTCTTTTTTGTGGAGCGTACATGAAAATATGGCTTATATATTGGCTTTCAAATCAACAGGCATTTATCCATTGGACAAAGATCAGATTCCAGAGCATGCTTACGCTCCTGCTGAAACCACGGATGTCTCTGGTATTGTGATGGAATCATCACCTTCTACAAGTGGTATAGTACCAGTAAATGAAGAAGTTCCTGTTAATGAGAGATCATTTGATGATAGTCAGCCTTACCCAAAAGTGTCTCGTAAAAACAAGCCACCACAAAAGAAGCCTATCGAAACAGGGTCCAGGGTTCTTACTAGCAAAAATTACAGAAAAGAACTTTCAGCACTAATGAAGCCAGCAACTCAGGAAATCATAGTTCAGGTCAGTCAAGTTTGAGATGTGGCATACACGAGGACAATAATCAGAAGCAAAGCACACAAGTGAAGAAGTTGCCCAAGAAAAAAGTAAAAGTGGTAGGAAGAGGATTATTAGAAAACATTTGTGGTATTTGTGAGGGAAATTTTTTCGATGATGAGAAGGAAGGTTGTATTCAGTGTGAGATTTGTCAAAAATGGTTCCATGATATTTGTGCTGGGGTATATATATGGAAAGTTTGTAGTGAGGTTCAAATGTGATGATTGTAACTAACAGAATTTATTGTAGAGCAGCTAGTCTTTTCATCATTCGTTTTCTAGAAAGGTTCAATGATATTTAATATGAAACATTTATCATGCCGAATATTGAATTGTTACATATGTTTGAGATAATCCTGAATTGATGTGTATTACTTTCTGGTGTGATGTTTGTGTTTTGCTTAAATTAGCCATTCTAATTTAAGGTAATATAAAGCAATCATTGTTGTATTTTACTGGAATAGGCCTCATTCATTTATATTTGGACTTGAAAATTATTAGTTTGAATAAAAGTTGGTAATTTCATCATGATGTACATTCTCGCTCTGTAATCTCATTTCCCGGGGTAAGATGAACACCACAATAAATTTGATGGGAATTTTTTAGAGGTCTAGGCACTGAGTGAAGACTTATGAGTCGACTTTGGGCTTATTCTGCTGTATGACTGTATTACCCACAAAGTGACTAACTTACCCCCATATTTTTTTAGCTCAAAATCGTACGTAACTTCCTATTGCTTGCCATGGAAACGATGGAGTTTTGCGGCAAATTTGCTTGGAGTTAGGCGAATCAAACCCACATGGAACGACTTTATTGGCGGTGTTACTACGAAAGTTATTCTAAATTATATGTTAGCGGGTCCGACTTCCCCCGACCTACTATATAAACTATAAGTCAAATATCGTCTTCATAAATATCCGCATTCCGATGTGAGTGAAAATAATAATGTTCGTTTAAAATGTGAACGGTTAATTTACAAATGATGCTGATGAATATCGAAGCCGACGCAAAATATAAAAATCATGATAAAATAAGTTTAGTCTTGAATATACTACTTAAATAGTTCATTAGTTTTATACTTTTTCAACATACACCACCGATGTGGACGCATAGTTTTCTCAGAAATATAAAAACCCAACTTAGCCGTTGTGTGAGATTTGTACTTGAAAAAAAAGGAAATCGCATAAGCATTAGGATGGCTAACATCCTGGACACCTGATTTATAATAAAAACATATGGTATTCGATAGAAAATATTTGAATTATTCGGGTAGAATGTAGATGATTGATTTTGCCCCACCACGCGACGCGATCTGTAATAACGACAATATTCTGGTGAAAAGTGTGGCAATGTAACATGCGTGATGGAGTCCACGATTATTTCACATCTCAAGCACCAAAACGGTTATATTTTAGGTTCTGAAAATCGTATTTCACAATTGTTATGACTCTATTCGAAAGAAACAACGTTACGATATAGTAAAGGCAATTATGTTTTCCATCAAATCATACTAGGGCTTGGCACAAAATTCATAACGTGAAAAGGTACGTCAAACGGTGAAAATTGGGCGCTCCCGAAGTATGTGCACCCAGATGGCGCACAACCTGAACCCGGACCTGGTACACATACTGTGTTCAGGTTGTGCGCCATCTTGGTGTACATACTTCTGGCGGCCCGAAAATTGTTCATAACAACATTAAACCCATTTAGTTAGTTCAGAGATAATAGTTAATTGTTACTTTCACAATGATGCGAGGTGCTCCGGTAACGCTCTCGAGTTCATTATTGTAAGGAAATATTTCAATCAATCAATCATTTATTTTGGTTCTCTGACATAAACAGTACAGAAAGTAAACGAACAAAACAAAATGCAGAAATACCTGTGAGACGGGCATAACTTAAAATAAAGTTAAAATGCGTACAGTGTACGTGCCCGCCCACCAAAAAGTAAATAACACAAACACAGAAAAGGGCGATTTAGAATCGGGCAGTAGCCTATTCTGAAAGCAGTTTAACAAAAACAGCAAATTGAAGTAGATAATTCAATGTAGTAAACTTCTGACAACTTCTTCGGTCTTAGATAGGATGAAAATTTGAACCACATGTTTACTGAATGATCACCAGAACTAATATGTAAATGAAGCCGATTTAGAATACTGCAAATACTGTGATTTGCAGTATTATGATTTCTTTCTTGTCTCATGCTAATTTGGCTTTACTAATAGTTTAATCGGTGCAAATTTCTCAATATTCGACTATTAGCGGAGTTGTAATTCTACATTTTATCCAAGAGGCCAAGAGGCTGCGTTCAAACCTACTTCACAAAAACACAAATGAAATTTTCCGTTTTTGTAGTTACTTTTCTGGGCTGAGTTAGATATTCTAAGTTTGAAATGACCTCGAGTTATAAAAACCAAACATTTTCATTTAATGTTACGTTTACTTTAATTTGTCTCTGAGTCCGAAAAGTGAACATAATCGACAAAAAATCATGTAATTGATAAATTTAAAATTGGTATTCATAACATGTAACAAATTCCGAGCACATGGAACCACTATTGCTCGTCCGTTTCCAGTAATTTTTCATGACATTAAAAATATCATTTCAAACTGACGATGCTCTATATACTTCGCATACCCTCTTCTAATATGCTCTTTTAGATGAGTACTTTGCCCAAAACACGTTCCACAATGTTTACAAGTGAAAGGCTTTTCTTCGGTATGGGTTCTAATATGTTCTTTCAGATTAGAACTTCGTGCAAAACACTTTCCACAATGTTTACAAGTGAATGGCTTTTCCCCAGTATGAGTTTTAATAGGCTCTTTCAGATTAGAACTTTGCGAAAAACATGTTCCACAATGGCCACAAGTGAATGGTTTTTCTCCAGTATGAGTTGTTATATGCTTTTTCAGACTATACCGCCGCGCAAAACACTTTCCACAATGTTCACAAGTAAATGGTTTTTCTCCGGTATGGGTTAGCATATAGGTGTTTAAATTTGACTTCTGTCTGAAGGATTTCTGACATTTTGTACAAACAAACGGTATTTCTTTCGTGTGTATTTTTCCATGTCCCTGCAAAGTATTTTTCGTTGTGAAGCTTTTACCGCAATGGCCGCAAACATATGGTTTCTCATCACTATGCGTTTGAACATGGTTTTTCAAATACCTGATTAAGTTGAAGCACTTTCCACAATGTTTACAAGTATGCGGTTTATCTCCGGAGTGAATTTGGATATGCCGTTTTAAAATACCTAAAGTGTGAAAGCATTTTCCGCAGTGTATACAGGAAAATGGTTTTACTCCAGTATGAATTTGCATATGAGATTGCAACTCTGATTTACAGTTGAAGGACTTCTGACATACCTGACAAACACAAGGTTTCTTTCCTGTGTGGATTCTTTCATGCCTTTGTAATTCAGCTTTGCTTGCGAAGCACTTGCCGCAATGGTTGCAAGCATATGGTTCATGTCCGCTATGATTTTGTATATGAACTTGTAATTGGCGTTCAACTCTAAAGCATTTACCCAGTGGCGGCGCGTGGTCATTTTGACAACCGGGGCAAGCTACTGCGGGACCAAGTCACCCCCATCTACGGGGACAGGATGAGCGCTGTAAGTTCTCCCATCATTTTATGAGTATAAAAACCATTCCATCGGTAACAACCATACGGCAAAAGCGACAATTTTTAACGAGAAGAAAGTGTCTTTAAAACCGGTCCAAGTCAAGGGATTAATAAATATAGACATAGTTTATTTTGAAACCTCTTTCAAAAGGAAAGGCAATATTTACCCAGATAAATACAATGACATATTAACAGAAACATCGGGAAAGCAGACAAAACTTAAAATAAGGTTTAAAACGTTACTATGAAGAAAGGAAAGGTAATGCAAAGATAAGGACATGCGTCGCTCACTCATAGATATATAATATGCTGCTAGACTTCTACTGCTTGAACATATATGCAACACGCCGCGGTTTCTTGGAAGCAAAATGCTCAATAACGCGCTGATTAAAGTCATGCATCCCAGAAATAACATCTCTGTGAATGGATAAAACAGCCAAGGAATTTAATCTATCTTGCTTCATTGTGTTTCTGAGATACGTTTTAATACGCTTCAGCGTGCTGAATGTTCGCTCTGCGTCGGCGGAAGAAATAGGCGTCGTCAAAATGATGTCCAGAAATTTTGCAGACGCCGCAAAGGTAGTTACTAGAGTGTTATCTATGAGGAACCCATAGAGCGCGCAAGTTGATGTGATGTTCAAAAAAGTTTGATTGGTGTATATACATCGCAATTCATTTTCCAATTTACCCACGTTTATCATGGGGTAAAATTTGGAGACAGTAGCCAACAAATGGATGGGAAATTGACGTGCAAATTTTGAAACATTTTTGGGGTTCATCAAAGAGAAGGCGGAAAGGTGTTCAGTGCGCAGACGATCGCCTATTTGATTCACCAGAATGTCCCAGCATTCCTTTGCAGACAAAATCAAACGCTGCGTTGTTTGCCCGCGGCGTAAAGAAGCACTCCATGTGCCGTCGTATTTTATTGTTTCCCGGATACGAGATACAGCATCGCAGAAGTCTGAAATACACGACTGCACAGACGCTCCATCCATTAGCCTTGACTGCAATGCGCCGTATAATACATCCACGTGATAGAATATTGTGGAGAAAAAAGCGAGAAAAAATGAAAACTCACCATCTTCTAGCAGACGCTTTAGACCTGCCGCCTTCCTCACAGAGCGTTCGTCCCAAACCGGAGAGCTCTGAATGCCATTGAAACACTCAATGAGCTCAGACCTAATTTCGGACACGCCCTGCACCACGCGTGATTGGAAGTTCCAACGTGTTGGTGCACAAGCTGGGAGACGGCGGCTACATATCTGGCGAAGGAGGTCAGAGCGCTTCGGCGAAACGGAAAAAAATGAAGAAAACCCCGAAACATTTGCAAAAAATATACGGACGAGAGGGGTATCAAG